TCACGCCATTCTCCTGCCTCAGCCTCCCGAGTAGTTGGGACTACAGGCGCCCATATACATTTAATAGTATCTGTTTTGGTAAGAAATATGGAACCAAATAGTTCATAAGAAACTGTGGCTTCATGAACTAAGACTATGTATAAAATGTATTAATTAGTAGATCATCCGAACTTCTATGGAAATCATATGTCCATATATTTTATCAGTGGCTTTAGTTGTGGAAAATAAAACTATGTAAAGGATTCATGAATACAAGATTATCTTAATTTTCTAAGAGTGTGATATTTTATATAGATGTTTATAGTTATCATGAAGATATTTCCCTATGCAAAATATATAGTAAAAAAAAAAAAAATTCAGAAAACTCAGAAAAAAACGCATCTTTCCCTACCCTGCTTCCCTTGATCCTTTAATTGAGGCCTGCACAATTTATCATTCGCCTTGGTCATCTGCCCAGCCTAGCACTAAACATTCACTTTTCTTCACCACCTGTACCACAATACAAAATTATTTCATATTTATTTATTTTGTTTTTAGGTGAGTTCCACTGGTTTTCTTTGTTCGTTTGTTTGTTTGTTTTGATTCACTTTGCACTCCCAGAGGTTGGCAGTATCCAGCACATAACAGTTACTTGATCAATATTTGCTAAGCAAATGATTCCTTTACCTGGTTCCACTGCTCCTCTGAGAGTACCTATCACATTGTAAATTCTTGTCACTTCACTGGTAGAGTGGATGTGCATCTTGACTTTTCTAATGCAAAGATAAAAGACAATCTTTAAAAAAAAAACGAAACTGGTTAACAGATTAACACTATAAGGGTTAAGGGAATTTTCCCCTCTGCCTTTGAAGGTTCAAATCTGGTCAAATAAACTGAAAATCGATTAACAGGAGAAAAAGATACAAACTTATTAACACACCAGTGTATACAGGAGCCAAACAAAATGTGAGACTCAAACAAAGGCCAAATGGCTGAAGTTTAACTGGCACCCACTTCACAGGGGAGGGGGAAGTGGGGGACTGCAGGTGGTTTTGAGGGGTGGTAAACGGTTTTCAAGAGAGTTAAATGGACCCGAAGAGCAGGCAATAGTTTGTAAATAATTCTCTTTGGAACTTGAATGGAACTAGAGAACAGTCAACAGCTTGTGACAAGGCCTGTGTAAAGTGATATGCCTCAGTCTTCCTTCCTATTATATGAGTTCAATCTTCCCTGGTCAATAAAATTTCAGGGAGGGGAAAGAAAGTCATTGTCTTCCTTCTACAGGAGCTTCAGATAAGGGAACTTCAGAGAGAAACTTCCACTCTGCTCTTGTAGGGTGAAGTTGGAGGTCAGAACTATTGATTCTGAAGCTGCATCTAAGGACTTTTATCCTTTAGTTCAAAGTGCTCAGCATGCCAGAACACCATACTTTGGGTTATCTATTTTCTGAGTTCCAACAACACCCATAATTTTTAAATCTTCAATCTTGTTTAAAGATGTCTAATTGTTCACAGGCAAAAATTACACTGGTTCTAAATTGCAGTTTTGTTTCCTGCTGGTATTACATAAATTTTACTTTTTCTGTCATCCTCTATAGTATTTTTTCTTTTCTTTTTTTTCTTGAGATGGAGTCTGGCTCTGTCACCCAGGCTGGAGTGCAATGGCGGGATCTCAGCTCACTGCAAGCTCCACCTCCCGGGTTAGCGCCATTCTCCTGCCTTAGCCTCCCGAGTAGCTGGGACTACAGGCGCCCGCCACCACGCCTGGCTATTTTTTTCTATTTTTAGTAGAGAAGGGGTTTCACCGTGTTAGCCAGGATAGTCTCAATCTCCTGACCTCGTGATCCTCCCACCTCGGCCTCCCAAAGTGCTCATATTACAGGCGTGAGCCACCGCGCCCGGCCTAGTATTTTTTTCTTTAAGGCTCCCCCTTAAAAGAGTTAAAATTAAAATTGTCTCTTAACTGTGTAGAAAAGTTTCCAGTAAAGCCAGGTCCAACATTGTAGGGCACTTTGAGACTTCCTCTCCAGCTGCTATCTGGTGATGCTGAGCCACCCATTTTTCTGTTGGACACAAAAAAAACGGGATTAGCCACAAAAAAAACCCCTGAAGTAACACATTAAAATGTTAATGGATTCACTTTATTGAGAATCTGCTCATAATATCTTTAATGAGTACAAAGTGCTTTGAATATAATATGTCATTTAAACCTTACCACAATTCTGAGGAATTGCTTCCTCCACTTCACAGATGGGGCACAGGAGGCTTAGAGATTAGATAACATGCCCAAAGTCATGCAACTAGTAAATGGTTTAATTAAGATTCAAATTATTGATAAGAATTTGATCTGTGTTACCAGTATCTAGTAGTAAATCTAAAAGTGCTTTCCAGAGCATGTGCTGAAGAAAGAGCTTGATGTCTAACTCTCTGAAATTTTCCATTGTTATTTGTCTTACTGGTATATAGTTATTTTTTACAAAGTACTTTCATACACATCTACTAAGAAGACAGGAGGATCCTTTCTTTTGAAAGGATTTCATTTCAGAAGCCCCTAAAAACTTCAACGCTATTTTTTAAAATTCAGAAATAAAGATTCAGGCAGACCACTCAGTACATGCCACGGTCCCTGGTTATCTTTCAGCAGGTGACTGAGAAAGAAAACATGGTAATGTTTATGAAATGGTGGGGTTCTTGTAGTTTCACTTCAGCATATCTGCCTTTACTGTATTGAGATGATGGATTAACTTATTCTTGATTGGGGCATGTAAAACAATATACTTTTACTAAATAGCTACTGAGAGACGAATGTGTTTCCAGACAAACTTAAAAGACTGTTCAAACTGAATAATCTCTACCTTAATCGTAACTACATTTTTATAAAAATTCAGCTGTAAGGCAAAAACAGACTTCTTTGGGCCTACCACGGGCATTTTGTTCCCGTTAAATGAATATTCCAGACAATAGGGGCAACAGAGTCCTTGGCAGAGCTTCCCTTCTAACAAAAAGTAGCCCAAGAAATTATTACTATTTTTTCTAACAAAAAGCAGCCTGAAAAATGTAGCTGCAAACATAGATTAACAAGCTGAAAAGTGCAGGGGAATGCTGGCAGCTGTGCCAATAGAAAAGGGCTACCTGCGGTTAGGCGCGGTGGCTCATGCTTGTAATCCCAGCACTTTGGGAGGCCGAGGAGGGCGGATCACCTGAGGTCGGGAGTTCGAGATCAGCCTGACCAACATGGAGAAACCCCGTCTCTACTAAAAAAAAAAAAAATTAGCTGGGTGTGGTGGCGGCACAAGCCTGTAATCCCAACTACTCAGGAGGCTGAGGCAGGAGAATCACTTGAACCCGGGAGGCAGAGACTGTGGTGAGGCGAGATGATGTCATTGCACTCCAGCCTGGGCAACAAGAGCAAAATTCTATCTAAAAAAAAAAAAAAAAAAAAAAAGGCTATTACCTGGGGGCCAGGCATGTACATATGGAGGGTCCATCTTCCCTGTTTTTGTTACCACATGCACAGTAACAGAGAAATGAGCAACATGGCGCAGCTCAGGCAGAAAGCTTACCTGAATAATAAAAGATTAGGGTGGGGCTACCAGAAATTCACACCCTATGCAAATGGCACACCTGGTCTAACCAGTTTTTCCATGACTTATATAAATCAGACATCACCTCTTCACCATCTCATCTATAAAACCCTCTGCATTTTGCAGTGGACCAGCAACACACTTTTTTCCAGGACCTCTCTCTGCAGCAGAGAGCTATGCTAATATACTATAAACTAATAACATCAGTTGCTTTGGGGGTGTAAATGGATGAGAGGAAAACTTTACTATAAATCCCTTTGAATTGTGAACTTTGTAAATGTATTTCCTTTTCAAAATAAAAATTAATAGTCCATATTCCCATAAAACAATATAATATAAAGCCATGATTGTAGTGTCCCCACAAGGAGAGGTAAACAAATGACTAGAAGAGAACATAATAATAGTTATATATAAGAATCTAATATACCAATGAAAAAAATAATACACATACGTGGAGAATAGAAGTTTCAGTTGAAAAATGTTACTGAGGTATAAATCTCTTTAGGTCCTTTTCTCACTTTATAAATAAAAAATAAATTCCACAAATATTTAAAAGTTGAATATTAAAATTTCAAACCACAAAAATATTAGAAAGTACAAATAAACGTTGGAAAATGTCTCTGAACATATTTGGTAGACTGTAGATGCCCAGTAATTAATGTATAGACAGTATTGAGTTTATAATTCTGTATCTTGTAGTATATCAATTTTGACCATTTGGAGAAGATTTGTTGTCTACTATGTTAAGGCACTGTGTTTTATTCACTAAAAAATATAAATATATAGAAGACTCAGTCTTTCCACCAAAGAGTTTATAAATCACTCAGAAAAAAATACATATAAAACCAATCATAATATAAAACAGAACATGACAGATCAAAGGTAAAGTTCTAAAAAATGTGGACAAAAGAAAGCTTGATTCAGCTTGTGAGATCAGGAATTACTTTCTAAAGAAGGTTTCACTTGATCTGGATTTTAAAGGATGAATAAGGGCTGGGCATGAAAAAATGAGGGTGAAGAGCATTCCAGGCACAGAGGCGGGCAAGCAAAGAGCAAGTGTAAGGCGTGATGACTATTCTGGCTGGGATATAAAATGGCTAACTTTCCTTGAGAAAGAAATTGAAAAACAGTGTAACTCAAGTGCACATGGAGCACTTTTCATAATAAATCATGGCTGTAAAATGAGTCTGGATAAATTTAAAAGGTTGAAATTATACAATCATTTTATTACTCATATACTTCTTTTACTAATCCAACCACAATAAAAGGAATTTAGCAATCAATAACAAAAGTAAATTTAGGAAATTCACAAATACATGGAAATTAAACAACTAACTCCTAAATAACCAATGGGTCAAAGAAAAATTCTCTGAAATACAATTTAAAAATGCTTTGAGATGAATGAAAATGAAGACACAATGTACCAATACTTATGAGATGCAGCAAAAGCAGTGCTTAAAGGAAAATGCATAGCTGTAAACACTTATATAGAACGATCTCAAATCAGTAAGCTAAGCTTTCACCTTAATAAACTGGACAAAGAAAACTAAACTAAACTCAGAAAGCATAAGAAAGAAAATTACAAAGATTGAAAGAGAAATAATAAAATAGAGAATAGAGAAAATCAATGAAACAAAGGGTGATTCTTTAAAAAGATGGATTAGAGACTTAAATGTTAGACCTAATACCATAAAAACCCTAGAAGAAAACCTAGGTATTCAGGACATAGGCATGGGCAAGGACTTCATGTCTAAAACACCAAAAGCAACGGCAACAAAAGCCAAAATTGACAAATGGGATCTCATTAAACTAAAGAGCTTCTGCATAGCAAAAGAAACTACCATCAAAGTGAACAGGCAACTTACTGAATGGGAGAAAATGTTTGCAATCTACTCATCTGACAAAGGGCTAATATCCAGAACCTACAAAGAACTCAAACAAATTTACAAGAAAAAAACAACCCCATCAAAAAGTGGGCAAAGGATATGAACAGACACTTCTCAAAAGAAGACATTTATGCAGGCAACAGACACATGAAAAAATGCTCATCATCACTGGCCATCAGAGAAATGCAAATCAAAACTACAATGAGATACCATCTCACACCAGTTAGAATGGCAATCATTAAAAAATCAGGAAACAACAGGTGCTGGAGAGGATGTGGAGAAATAGGAACACTTTTACACTGTTGGTGGGACTGTAAACTAGTTCAACCATTGTGCAAAACAGTGTGGCGATTCCTCAAGGATCTAGAACTAGAAATATCATTTGACCCAGCCATACCATAACTGGGGATATACCCAAAGGATTATAAGTCATGCTGCTATAAAGACACATGCACACGTATGTTTATTGCAGCGCTATTCACAATAGCAAAGACTTGGAATCAACCCAAATGTCCATCAGTGACAGACTGGATTAAGAAAATGTGGCACATATACACCATGGAATACTATGCAGCCATAAAAAAGGATGAGTTTGTGTCCTTTGTAGGGACATGGATGCAGCTGGAAACCATCATTCTCAGCAAACTATCCCAAGAACAGAAAACCAAATACCGTATGTTCTCACTCATAGGTGGGAATTGAACACAGGAAGGGGAACATCACACACCGGGGCCTATTGTGAGGAGGGGGGTGGGGGGAGGGATAGCATTAGGAGATATACCTAATGTAAATGATGAGTTAATGGGTGCAGCACACCAACATGGCACATGTATACATATGTAACAAACCTGCACATTGTGCACATGTACCCTAGAACTTAAAGTATAATAATAAAAAATTAAAAACAGATCAACAAAATTAGCAAACCATTAGTTAGACTGACCAAGTTAAAAAGGGAAGACTGTAATTACTAAAATCAAGAATACAGGAGAGTATATTACTACTATCTTTACCTAATTCTTACCTTTACTGCAGTGGCTGAAATATAAAAGTCATTCTATAAATGTTCCTTGAGTGAGTGGGCTGTGAGAAGACATTAAAGGTCTCCTGAGCAGAGACATAAGAATGAGACAACACTATAATCAATAGAGGTGGCTACTAAATGCTTGTTTAGTTGAGTAGAGAGTAAATAGTGTTTACCAAAGTATCTTTTGCATCAGACATGAATTTGGGTTCCGGCTCTCTCACTTACTCTCTGAACATTGGTTAAAATGAGTATCACAATACTAACTCATATGGTTGTTTTATAGGTTAATTAAGGAGATGTATGTAAAGCATTTAGTACAACAGTAAGTGCTAAAGCATAATTAGCATTCCATGCAGGATACCTGCTATTACTGTTACTGTTGGCACTATAATTATCATCCTAGAAGTTACTCTAGAAGACAAATTAAAACCGCATAATCACACTGTGTTCAGTATATATGTAAAGAAAAATAGGAAAAAACATACATGGTGTCTCCTTTCTCTCCCATTCAAGTCAATATAAAGTTTTTACCATCACTCACATTTCATCAATTTTTTATTTAAGTTCTCAGCATTCTTGGACCGTTATATAACTTTATATCTCTCCTCGTTTTCTCACATGTGTATTAATAAACTTTTATTTCATGATATATTCCATTTGTAAAACACTGTCTTTTCTATTTAATGCACAATGCTAAACTGCTACCCACTTGAGAGAACCTGAGAGTTGAGTAGGTTGGCACACTCCCAAGGCACATGTGCAAAGAGAGTAAATTTTCACAGTGAAATTCATAAGCAAACCATATGTTCTTTTAAACAATTTTTAAAAACTAAATTACACTTATATGGACTATTTCATTATGGCTTAGAAAGTGGATAAATAGAAATGCCTGTTTTTAATTATGAAATTTTGAATGTAAAATGCACTTTTCCATGAAAGTTATGTTATTAACGGTGATTGTATTTGTAAAATGGCTTACAGAGGCTGACACAGTAATGTCAGATGAATTACATTTGTCATTTTTCAATCAGGTAATTCCATTACACAATCAGAGCACAGCTGATATTGACCTAGTAAACCAGACCAAATTGAAAACATTTAAATAAATCTCACATCTAATTCCATGATATTATGCATCCTTTTTTTCTAATTACAAAGATAATACAGGTTCATGTTTTACTTTTTTTGTTTTTTTTTGAGACTGAGTCTCACTCTGTTTCCCAGGCTGGAATGCAGTGGCGTGATCTCGGCTCACTGCAACCTCTGCCTCCGAGGTTCAAGCGATTCTCCTGCCTCAGCCTCCCGAGTAGCTGGGGCTACAGGCAATCACCACCATGCCCAGCTAAGTTTTGTATTTTTAGTACAGACGGGGTTTCACCATGTTGGCCAGGATGGTCTCCATCTCTTCACCTCATGATCCACTCGCCTCGGCCTCCCAAAGTGCTGGGATTACAAGCATGAGCCACAGCGCCCAGCCCCATGTTTTAAATTTTTATATAACTGCGATAATACTATATATATATATATATATATAGATATATATAGTTTTGAAATTTACTTTTCTTCACTCAATAGTATATCATAAGCATTTTTCTATATTATTAATTATTCTGGTACAACATATAATATCTTTTAATCACTTCATTTACTATCATAGTCATTAATATTTGAGTACATATCAATTGTTGAAGATCTGTGTTGTCTACAGTTTTCCACTATTACAAGTAATGCTAAAATGAGTTTTATCTTTTAAATATCATGAATACTTAGTCTTTATTTGTACATATTTTTAGGCAAATGCATAGTCTATGGTGCTATCAAAAGTTGTGCCTGTGTCCTGAATCTTAAACAATGTAGTAAAGTTTATAGCCCCAAGGAAGAAAGACCAGGGTGCTTTCTCAATCTGCCCTTAAATTGAACAGATGCATCCTACTCCCCAGATGTCTGGCTCCTCACCTCTGAAACTGAGTGCCTTGTCCTAGGTCAAAAAGTGCTTCCTCATAAATATTGGAATAAAATGATTAAGAAATGCTTGAACTCAAAGAAGAAAAGGGACTAACTGGCCAGATGCTTTGGTATCTATCAATTTCACTTTTAGGAAAGCCAGTGTTCTCTCACCTCTAAAGAATAATGCTGGCTGGGCACGGTGACTCATGCCTGTAATCCCAGTACTTTGGGAGGCTGCGGTGGGCGGATCACCTGAGATCAGCAGTTCAAGACCAGCCTGACCAGCATGGTGAAACCCCATCTCTACTAAAAATACAAAAATCAGTCGGGCATAGTGGTGGGCGCCTGTAATCCCAGCTACTCAGGAGGCTGAGGCAGGAGAATTGCTTGAACCCAGGAGGTGGGGGTTGCAGTGAGCCAAGATCGTACCACTGTACTCCAGCCTGGGCAACAGAGTGAGACTCTGTCTCAAAAAAAAAAAAAAAAAAAAAAAAAAAGGACATGGCAATGGGAGAAAGAAGCACAGGAAAGAGGAAACAGTTCCAATGCCAGGTTAAGTGGAACAAATCTGGGAAAGTTTTGATAATGAAAGCAGAAAATTTCGATAATGAAAGCAGAAGGAGAAGAAGAATAGAGATATAAACAAAATGGAAGTGGCTCTCATAGTGTGTAATTCTGGGTCCTCTCAGACTTAGTCAGAGGAACACATGAGTAAGAGATTTACTAGGGAAAAGCATGTGTGGAAAATGAGGAGAGAGCTAGGAAACCCTGAGAAAATCCTTAGACTGCAAGGTAGGTCTAATATTGAATAAAGGAAAAAGGGAGGAGGAAAAGAAAGAGGAGTGTTGGGTGCAGCATCTATTTGAGCCAGGCTATCAGGGAGTCCCTGGGTTAAACTTTTGCATCAGAGGAGTCCCATGCCTTCCAGAAGCAGGCCTGTAGAAGTATCCTTGCCACACTCAGTCATTGCCTGAGAAGAACTACAGGAAGCATGGTCTTGACACAAATAGAGTGGGGTTTTAAAGCACAGCATCTGGAGCAATTGATCAATTAGGCTCCCTGCAGTTACATATCTGAAAGGCTCATTTTCATGGCTGTCATACACTAGATACTCACGTACATACTAAATTCCAGAACAGAACCACTACTCTATTTTATAGTGATAAAATTACAAGGAGCACCTATGTTGGAAAATTTAAGTACTAAAAAATGGAGATAAAAGGCTAACATTTGAAAACTATCAATAATGAAAATTACCCAAACAGCCATCCATTGTTTCTTACGAACTTACTCTAGGAGCTTCTGTGCATCATAGTATCCAATTGGATGAACGGGAATACTTGGAAGACCAACAGCCTCTGCAATTCCACGCCTATAAGCATATTCTGAGAAAAAAAAATTTGCCATATTTCCAGTAAAAACTCAGTTTCATTCAAATGGTTCTCTGTAAATCACATTAAATACATTCTAATGTCACATTTGCTAGAATTGTTAAAGTAAAACAGATTAACAGTTCAAATGTTAGCGAGAATGCGGAGCAACTGAAATCCCCATACATTGCTTGTGTGAGTCTAGTCTAAAATTATACAATCACTTAAGATAACTCTTTTGAAAAGCAATGTCAAGCAGAAATGTACACTATGGCACAGCAATTCCACTCCTGAGTATTTACTCTAGAAAGATGAGCACATGCCCACAAGAAGACGCGTACAAAATTGTTCATAACAGTCACATTTATATTAGCCAAATATTAGACAAAGTCCAGGTTTCTAACAGAAGAATGAATAAAAAATCCATAGTATAATCCCACAATGGAATGCTACTCAATCATCGAAAGAAAAAAACAAATACATACAATGTGATGGAAAATCTCAAATTACTACACTGAAATAAACAAAGCTTTAAAAAAAAAATCTACTGTTTGATTCTATTTACTTGAAGTTCAAACCCAGGCAAACTAATACACGATGCTAGATATTAGAAAGTGATTGCTTCTAGGGGACACAGAGAAAATTGACCAGAAAGGGGTACAAAAGAACTTTCCAGAGTGATGGAAATGCTGTTATATCCTATTTTTAGTGACATAAACACATGCAATTTGCAAAATTTATTGAACTGAACTCTTAAGATCTATGTATTTCATTGCATGTAAACTCTACCTCAAAATAAGCACACACATTCTATCATTTCTTCAGATGTAAGAAAAATTAGAGCTGTTTTTCCATTTTTTTTTTCTGTGTGTTTTTAAAACAATCTAATATGAAACTTAGGTAACTGCAAATCCGTATTCTTTTTGTGCATAAAATGACATAATAATATGTTGTGTGGGATTTGTTTTCAAATTCTCTAGAATAATAGCAAAAAATTGGAATGATAAATAAAACAAGATTGACAACATGTTGATAACTGTCTCTACTTTCATATATGTTAGAATTATGTCATAATAAAAAGTAAAATTAGAAGGAAAATAAAAATGTATAGGGCACAAAAAAATAATTCAATAAACATTAGTCTCATAGAAATAACATAATTTTCCCCCTAAAATACTATCATTCAAATCTGAAGAAAATCAACAGAAACATTCCAGTTAATCTCATTTTATTTTCATTATTTTGACTTTGCATAACTAATAAAGCTTAGGCTAAGCTGCATTTTTTAAAACTTGGAAATAAAAAGGTGGAGTAAATAAAGTTCAGGTATATTTATGTAATTTTGCTATAGGGTAATATGTATCATTTTTTAAAAAAGAAAAAAAATTCTTACAATATATTACATTCTAAGATTTACAAAGCCAAAAATATATATATATATATAATCTTTACAGGAGTCTATGATTTAAGAGTAAAACCAGATGAAGATGTAAACGTCACAGATAACTTGGCAAAGTATTTCACACAAGTTTTAAAAATTTAGTTAGCTTTAAACCACACAAACTTAATGATCACAGATTTTTGTAAACATCATCAAATAGTCGAGCACATTCAAAATAAATCAGCTCCCTTTGTTAATGTTTTACAGGGGAGCCTTTCAGCATAGGACTAGTATGTGGACTCTGAGCCAGACTGTCTGAATTTGAATCCAACTGCTCATTTAGAGGAGGGGTGATCTTGGGCTGACTTCTAGTCTCACTTTCCTCCCCTGTCAAATAAGAGATAATAACATCCCCTAGCTTTAGGGTTGTTAATGCAAGTAAAATGCTGCCATTTAGGAAATACTCTTTTAAAATTATCTCTGTTATCTTATAGCAATGAAGCAATATGCATTTCCTGGGCTCTATATCCTAAATTGGCCATTTAACAAGTTTATGGAACTTCTGCTCTCCTGTCCCTTACCCACAACTGTGAAATCCAAAAACACTGTGAAATTTGTAAATCTGGGGGGAATTTATTTAACAGCAAAATCTGATCTGAGCTGAACTCATTTGAAAGCAAAATTCAACTTGAGCAGACATAAGCCTGTTTATATTCCTTATTCCCCGCCCCCCACTTACTACTTAGTGTAAGTATTCATACACTCTGCAGCAAAAATATTTATATGCTTTTTCCTCATATTCTGTCCCAGGCCCCTACATCACTGTTATGCAAGTTATGGTATATGTGTAACACCATAATGTTTTTTAAATATCTGAAAAAGTCTGAATTCGAAAACCCACCAGGCCCAAGTTTCCAAATAACGGGGTAAGGGACCTGAACCAATCATTTTAGAGCTCAAAATTCTTTCATTCTTAAATGCAAAGAGAATAAAAAAAAGGCATGCTTAGTCCATTGTGCCAAAGGAAATTCTATAATAAAGTCTCTGTCAAATGTTAAGTTTCCTGTTATATTCAAGGATTGATCACTCACCATTTGCTGGGTAACCTGGTGTGAGAGGGTCTCCTGCACCATTCAGATTTAGGATATTTCCACGCTGGACACCACCTCCAGGAAGATTCCATCCATCTGGATAAGATTTCACCCCAGGAGCAAAGTAGTCAGCAGGGTCTGAGTAGAGAATGACTCCTTTGGCCCCTGCCAGCTGGGCATTTTTAACCTAGAAAACACAGTGTCTTTCTTTCCTTATTTTAAACTGGTTGTTCCAGATTCGGTAACATCAGTTTTCAATATTACACTTAAATAAGTAGTAGAACTTTATCTTCAAACTTTTGTCATTAGGCCTACAACAAAGGATATCTCAGAGAGAATTTCCCTTTTCTTTTTGCTACTATAAGCTCCAGAAATCCTCAGAGCGTCAGATTTGGTAATGTTCTTATTAGTGGTAGTGAGTATTTGCTTTTTCCTTCCTCTAGCTTAGAAGTATAATAAGCAAGTAGATCCCACAGGCCAAATTCCTATTTGTTCTATAGTCAAAAGGGAATTTTTTAAAAGTTAATTTCCCACTAAAAAGAAAAATATATTTATTAACTAATAAAATGAGAGTAATATTTAAATTTGCTATGTGTAAACTGTTTTCCCTCATTATTTATAACAATTCATACTACAATTTAATTTAGTAAATATTTTTGTAGAAAATATTTAAAACAAAAATACTGAAACTTAATAATAAACCCAGTGCATGTTTCTTTAGGCCACAGGCATAACCTGTAAGCCAGAACAGAAAAATTTGTTCTGTTCACCCTAACCATCTGCACTGGCCAAATTCCAATGATCAAATGTAACCCTGGGATATAACCTAGTAAATGTAAGCTTTATGCCGACCTTTCTGTAACATGGGCACATCACAGAATACAAGAAAATCATCGTATTCATAAAGTTTTAAGAAAATGATTCTACACATGTAAAACCCACTATGAGGGAGAGGAAAAAAAGATGATTTTTTACCTTATTTCCTCTGAAAACTTTCCCATATCTGGCAATTACAATTTTCCCAGAGCAATTGATTTTCATGTCCCGTTCCAATTTAAAGAAGTCTTCAGTTCGTGCATAGTTAACATACACTAGATCGCCCTGTTGAGATCAGGAATGACTTCATGTAAGTCAGATGTAAAACAAGGAGGTTTTTCTGCATGGGGACTGTTGGACATTTTTGAAAGAAGGAGGAGGTTAGAGCACACGAGAGGGTCAGAAATGTATGAGCTCCGAAGAAGAGATTCAAGGGAAAAATGAATTTAAATTGAGAATGGAATTAGATGGGCTAGAAGCATATGAATTAAGTAATATTTGTTTGTATTTGTCCCACATTTAGTGGCTATGAAGCTGAAGCTACAGAAGCACTCTCCCACAGAAAAGTATTATACATATACATATTGCGGCACGCAACATGAAGGGGTCCAGATACCCTAGGCTAAGAAGCCCTTAATGAGATCTTTCCTTTCTTCAGAGTGTGTTCACAGGGAGCAGTTCAATGGTTCTTAACAACTACCAAGTAAAGATAAATAGACAGGTAACATCACTGGTTTACAGGTCTAATTTCAATCATTAATGTGATGATGTGCAAATCTTATATCATATTTGAGTCTCAATATTCTCATTTGCTAAATGATCTGCTAGATTAAATCAGTGACCTTCCAAGCTTTTTTTGCTCACCTGTTCCCTAAATTAATGTTGGCAATGTACCCCTTCATCTAAAATTTTAAATGTTTTATCATACCTTTAAGTAGCTGCAAAGCATGCAATATCTGGCTTACTATAAATATTAACATTTTTAGATGAAATTGTATATAACTTTTATATCAATCCAAAGGAATTTAAAAACTATATTTATTTACTATTCAACATCATCAATTTTAAAAAATACATGAATATGTTCTTCTTTACAGTCCAAATTTTGTCATCTCTTTTTTTTTCTTGAACTTGTATATTGTCCACCTTCCTCCACAGAATTTTACTGTAAAGTAAAATATATTTGTACTGGGCACTAGGATGAGCTGTCAGGTTCATGGTCAATGAGGGACTTTTTGCTCCAGCTGCAGGGAAGGCTCTCTGCAGACAACCTTCATCTGTCAGCCCCTTCAAGGATTGCCTCAGCTATAGACAGCCCCCTTGCTCAAGGTCATGTCCCTTCCTAGAATGCCACACATTCAGTGACTGATTGACGTGAGGGTACAGAGACCTGGACATCTCAGTCTAACATAGGACAATTCTGAGAAACTATTCCAGACCTCCTTATAGGCTTAGCCAAGGCTATCCTTGAGCTGGCATTGCAGGGTGACTTCTCCCTCTGCCTAATTCAGCTCTCCTTCTCACAGATGTTGATCCCAAAGAGAACACTCCATAATTATCAACTAGCATTCTAAATTTCATTCCAGAATCTATTACCTTAAATGTGGGTATGCTTGAAAGTCTTTTATTAATCACTGTCAAATTTCCTTGAATCAGTATATCTATATAAGTCAATTTTTTAAAAGAAGTATTTATTTTTGTGACAGATTGTGTTAAGAAATAGCTTCAGGAGTAAGTTATAATTATAGGCCAGGCATGGTGGCTCATGCCTGTAATCCCAGCACTTTAGGAGGCTGGGGTGGGCAGATCACTTGAGGTTGGGAGTTCAAGACCAGCCTGGCGAACATAGTGAAAACCCATCTCTACTAAAAACATAAAAAGCAGCTGGGCGTGGTGGCAAGCGCCTGTAATCCCAGCTACTTGGGGGCTGAGTCACGAGAATTGCTTGAACACGGGAGGTGGAGGTTGCAGTTAGCTGAGATCATACTAATGCACTCCAGCCTGGGTGACAGAGAAAGACTTGGTCTCAAAAAAAAAAAAAAAAAAAAAAAAAGATAAAGTTATAATTGTAATTACTACTAGTATCAAATTAAATCTAACAACATCATTGCAATTCTTATAAATAATGCATAACCATAATACTTGATTAGAAATATATCTTAATGCAATGAGTGGGACAGTGAAGCATTATCTTAACACATTTGTACAGTAAGTGAACAAATTATTGCTAGAATGAGATGGATCAGCAACAACAGTTCAATTTACATTTATTGTTTTTACAGTAAGTTCTGAGAAAACTTGGATAGGAATGAAAGATTTGTTATGGAATTGTCACTAACTTATTTAAACTTCTTTCAAGTTATAATCTGAAAATCACAAATTGATCTTTCATACAAGTGTATTTTAATGATATTAGCTGGAAACTCAATTGAGTTTACCTTTAATTTTGCTCAATTGTAAACTTTGAATTGCTAAGAATTTGTTACCCAGCTGTTAGAATCATTCGTTATCTTAACATTGAAAACAATATTTCTAATTGTCTCTTTTTTTTGAGCCCCAAAGATTTTTACAACACAGAGAAATGCTTCATATTGACTTAGAATGGGTGGGAGATGTTTTTCATTTGTAAAATAAGATGAAAATGCTTGTAAATAGGGAGCAGGACCACATGACAGGCTAGCTTTCAATACCATGAAAAAGTACACAGGGTAATTGATGATCTGGAAACTGATCTCTTTAAAACCTTGTCATGCTTGCCTTTGGAAAGTCTTTACACAGCCCAATTTGAAAGCCCTGTCCCAGATGATTTCCAAAATCCTATCATTTTATTTTGGCTATTGTTTCCCGTTTTGACTACACTTTTCATAGCATGTACACAACAAATATATATGAGATATTAAAATAGAATTGTCTCCAAGCTGATTCTAGGATTCATTTCACAAATTGGTGAAGATCTATCATGTGTTAGGCAGTGCCCTAAGTAATGCAACAAATCTCTGCCCTTGAAGGAACTTACACCGCAAGTCGTCCTTCAGTCACAATGGGATTAAGTCTTATTAAACTCACCTAAGTTGAAAATAATTATATGTCTAAAGTGTGTTTTTGACTTAGGATATCTTCAATTTATAATGGGTTTATCGACATAACCTCATGGTAAGCTGAGAAGTGGATTGAATGAGTATGGCTATTGCACCATCATAAAGTCAAAAAATTTTAAGTAGCCATCTTAAGTTGGGGATTTCCTGTAACGTGGATGGGACAATACAATAATGAGCATTAAATTTAATAAGTAAGCAAAGCATACATTATATTAAAAGGTGATAAGTAGTATAGAAAAAATAAAAAGCATTTAAATAGAGTATACAAATGGTGAACTGGAGCTTAAGTGGGTGTAATATTAAATAAAATGTGAATCTAATTGGGAAACTGACATTTGAATCTTTGCCTAAATGTAAAAGGATTACATTTAGCTCTTGTATTTCTTCCTAAGACCAATGTAACATAATGCACTATTAATCACACTATATTTCTGTTTATCATTGTTAGCCCTCTCTGGAGCACATTCTTATTCTATTTTAACTGTGGCTACAAAGTCATTAACCAATTTTATTTCAGCAAAATAATTTTTTTAGTGTAAGTATCCTACATGAAATTTATCCTTAATATAACTTTGAGGAGACTATACATTTAAATGTCTCTAAATATGGCTGTCCTTTGATATATCAGCAATCCTCACAAAACAAATAGTGAGGGAGAGAAAGCTGAAAAAGATATTAGCTTAAAAATGAGAGTAAACTTTGAAAATGAAAACAAGTGTGACAGATATTCCCTCTCAGCACTTCTCAAATGCAAGTTGTCACTGTGAGTTAGAAAAGAGCTTTGTTTTTAGACAAAGACCTTCTTGTACAGTTTACACTGTACCATCCATTGTTCTATGACTGTGAATAAATAGAATCTTGCACTCTTAGCCTGGAATTTTCTTTGTTTCCTTAAGCTTCCATCTCCCTAACTCTTATTTATAAAGATAGAATTGGGAGGCAAAACCAGTGATTCTGAAAGATGGTCCTTGAACCCTCAGAAACAATATCACACTTGTTACAAGCACAAACTCTAAGGCTCCACCCCACTAAACTTAGGAAGTGGAAACCAAAATCTGTGTTTTACAAGCCATTCAGATTATTGTGACAGACACTAAAGCTTGAGAACCACTAGAATAGGCTATATTTTATCAACACTGCAAATTGCTAATTTTAAACATCATAAAGCAGAGTCCCATATTTCCTATTCCACAGGATTCAGACGTAAATTCAAAGATTACTGATAGTGAAATCGTGATTTTTTTTTTTTTTTTTGAAACGGAGTCTAGCTCTGTTGCCCAGGCTGAAGTGCATAAATTTAAATAATAATTTAAAATAGCTAAAAAATGTGAAATGTACTTTAAAAATCTTAAATGACTGTTATCTATTGAAAAACTTGAAGTGTGAAGTGTGAAACTGAAGAACACTGAAATGTATTGAGCAGTGAAAAGATTATGTATAAAAAAACAGGTGGGCCTGATGCGGAGGCAGGCGGATCACCTGAGGCCAGGAGTTGCGATCTCGGCCCACTGCAAGCTCCACCTCCCGAGTTCACGCCATTCCCCTGCCTCAGCCTCCCGAGTAGCTGGGACTACAGGTGCCCGCCACCACGCCTGGCTAACTTTTTTGTATTTTTAGTAGAGACAGGGTTTCACCGTGTTAGCCAGAATGGTCTCGCTACTGACTTCGTGATCCGCCCGCCTCAGCCTCCCAGAGCGCTGGGATTGCAGGTGTGAGCCACCGCCGCCTGGCCCGTGAAATGTTTTAAATACACATATGGACACACATAGTTTTGAAAGAATTAACACTCCACTGGGTTACAGATGATCCAGTGAGGAACACCAATCAGCAAACTCATCTGATATTTGAACATAAACAGCAAACCCATACAACATGTGTGCTCTTTCTATTCAGCCATTGACCTGGAAGATTTTAAGTCTATTTGAAGGAAATAAGAGACAATGATCTTTATAACTCTTTCTTATGATTAATAGTAATGTCAAAGTCCAAAAATTATTTGGAAGATTTTAATTGGGTATGTAGTAAACCTACCCACTAATTTAGGTGTAATCTTCTCCCTATAACATGATGTTTTCTCATCTAGAAACATAAACGGTTTAACTGTTTTTTGTTTTGTTTTGTTTTGTTTTTCTGAGACGGAGTCTCCCTCTGTCGCCCAGGCTGGAATCCAGTGGCGCCATCTCGGCTCACTGCAAACTCCGCCTCCCGGGTTCACGCCATTCTCCTGTCTCAGCCTCCGGAGTAGCTGGGACTACAGGTGTGTGCCACTGCATCTGGCTAATTTTTTTTTGTATCTTTCATAGAGATGGGGTTTCACCATGTTGGCCAGGCTGATCTCAAACTCCTGACCTCAGGTGATCCGCCTGCCTCCGCACCCGGTCAACCTGTTTTTTTATACATAATCTTTTCACTGCTCAATACATTTTAGTGTTCTTCAATTTCACACTTCACACTTCAACTTCTTCAAGAGATCACATTCATTTAAGATTTTTAAAGTATAATTTATATTTTTTAGCTATTTTAAATTAAATTGATTCATTATACTTTCTGCTATCATATACTATTTGGTCATTTCTGTTTAGCTTCAATCTGGTAATATTAATACTATTTTTAAATAAAACATTATTGTTAATTTTTGGTATACATAAGTGATGCAGTTATATCACTGTAAATAATAAAGAAGGAGAATATTAATAAAGAAAGCCCAAAGTGCAAAAACATAAGGAAAATAATTTTACAATATCAAAATTAAGAATCTCGTTTCAACAAAGGAAAACACAGATAGACTGAACAAAAAAATGAAAAATTAGATGGGCAAAACTAATTTATGGTGGCAAAAATGTCAAAGAAAGATATCCTCTGGGGTGTGTAGAGCTGATTAAGAAGAAGCATAAGGGAATTTTCTGATGTAAAAGTAATATTCTGTACATTGATGGGGTGTGGATCATCCAGATGTAGGCATTTGTCAAAAATCAATAAATGTGCATTTGGGATTTGTGCATCTCATTGCAGTAAATTGTATCTTTAAAAATACTATGAATAAAATATAATCAATATTCCTCCTTCTTACTAAGACATTCTCATTACTTAAATGTGGAAAAAATTAATTGGATTACATCAAAAGTCCCTTTATGACCCTTTAATTATTGGCTGAATGTATGAAGTGAAGGAAGGCTTCTTTTTGTCATTTTTATTTTATTGCACTGTGTTTTTACCTCTGGCATTCCTTGAGGAGAGAAAGCACTGAAAGGTGGTACAATATCCGAAACATTTTCATATCCTGCAGGAGGTGGTTCAAATAATGATGTGTTGAAAATCTAAAGAAACAAAATATTATAATCAAAAGTAAATCAGTTAAAGTTTGATTACTATAATCAAACATAAACAAATGCATATTATCTTTTATGTCAGTAGAGGGTGAATGAATCCTTCAGGATTTTGATGATAATATCAGATACCCAGCACTGTGCTAGAAGTTGTGAGGAATTCATGAGATGAATAAATCACAGACTTTGTCCTCAAAATGGTAAGATCTATTCAAGGAAACAAAGCTAAAAACCCCCACCAATAACTAAAAATCAACCAAACAAAAAACAACAATCATAAAATAAGTAAGTACTATAGAAAGAAAAGCTCAGAAGAGGTAAAAAGATACTCTTCCGAAAGGAATATTGTGTACTGTAACCTGTATACTGATAGAAGGAAGAATTAGAAATTGATTTTTTGTAAGTGGCATACATACCAAGCTAGTGTAAATAAAAGCCTAAATATGTAGCTGCTTCACAGAAGGTTAGAAGTAAATTAACCTCATGAATTTCTTGAGAGAACTTGTAAGGACTAGCTTTTGATTTTGGAGAAAAATTTTAATCCCCAAATACAAAGTAACTTTGTTTGGTAATCTCACTCATTATAATAGTGCTTAGATAATTACCTAGGAACAGAGTAAATATTAAATTTACTTAAAAAAAGTACATGATTGGGGAATCCACAACTGGCCATATCTAGATTCTCTGAACAGCATATGTACTGAAAAGAATGAAAAACACTGAACCAAATACATGTCTTTTTAAGTTTATAATTAAATTTGAAAAAATAGTAAGGAATATTCAGAAGCAAAAAAATACAATGAAAGCAAGAATCCTCAGAGGCAGCATGGAAGTTGGCTTTGCCTTAGGTGGATCTATCAAAGCCTATGGCCCCATGAAAAGGATTCAGGAGTTAGTCTAAAACTGGTTCACATAATGGAATCTAGCAGAAGACTGTGCATAAAGCTGGTCTAAGTACAACAATATCCTGGCCAGGCGCGGTGGCTCACGCCTGTAATTCCAGCACTTTGGGAGACTGGGAGCCCAAGGTGGGCGGATCACAAGGTCAGGAGCTTGAGACCAGCCTGACCAACATGGTGAAACCCCATCTCTACTAAAAATACAAAATTAGCCGGGCGTGGTGGCATGTGCCTGTAATCCCAGCTACTCAGGAGGCTGAGACAGGAGAATCACTTGAACCTGCGAGGCAAGTTTGCAGTGAGCGGAGATTGCCGCCACTGCACTCCAGCCTGGGTGACAAAATAATAATAATAATAATAATAATAATAATAATAAAATCCTTCAGGGTTAAGGATAAATTCAAAATAAACTTGCTCCATGGAAAGTAATGGCTTAAGGTAAAGCAGGAAAAAAGGGTTCCAGATAATTCATAATCCTGCAAATTTCCATTCACTATTTATACAGTATGCCTCAAGCTAAAATATTTATTTTAAAGCAGTGCCAGGTTTGTAGTGCTCCCTGGGGCCTAAGAGAAATGATCAGGAGGAATCAGTCTTCAACTTAGCTTTAAAGAATTCCCAAATTCTAAGGGAGAAGAACTCAGAGCCACAAAATCACCAAACACCTCCGAAGTACTATGGAAAAGAGCCAACAGAAAGAACAGAGTAAAATTACAGCTGCAAAGACTGTATTTATGGTATGTATCATACACATGATATTGAACTAAAATTTAAATAAAAATTAAAGCCAGGCTGGGCACGGTGGCTCATGCCTGTAACATCGGCACTTTGGGAGGCCAAGGCAGGTGAATCTCCTGAGGTCGGGAGTTCAAGACCAGCCTGGCCAACCTGGAGAAACCCTGTCTCTACTAAAATTGCAATATTAGCGGGACATGGTGCACCTGTAGTCCCAGATACTTGCGTGGCTGAGGCAGGAGAATCACTTGAACCTGGGAGGTGGAGGTTGCAGTGAGCCAAGATCACGCCACTGCAGTCCAGCCTGGGCAACAAGAGCGAAACTTCGTCTCAAAAAAAAAAAAAAAAAGTTAAGGCCAGGTGCGGTAGCTCATGCTTGTAATGCCAACGCTTTTTGGAGGCCGAGGCAGGTAGATCACTTGAGGTCAGGAGTTCCAGAGCAAAACTTCCTCTCTACCAAAACCTCCTCTCCAAAAATGCAAAAATTAGCGAGGTGTGGTGGCACACACCTTTAGTCCCAGCTACTTGGGAAGCTGAGGCAGGAGAATCGCTTGAACCTGGGAGGCAGAGGTTGCAGTTAGCAGAGATTACACCACTTCATTCCAGCTTGGGTGACAGAGAGAGACTCCGCCTCAAAAAGAAAAACAAAAAAACAAACAAACAAAAAAAACAGTAGCAATGGAATCCATAATTCAGTAGAATATTGTCTCCCTGGTTTTGAGCAACAATTACTGTCAAACTGCAAATTTGTGTCCTACAAAATCATTCTTCCTTTGAGAATGAATACGAAAAACACATTTTTCCACCAAATTTTAACAGTTTTGGGTCGACAGGTGTTCACTTAAAACAAAGAACATTTGTAAACAATATTGTTCAATAAACAAAACAATACCATACAACAAATGAAGCCGCTAAAAGAATCTCTAAAATGATGCAAGAGAATCAGAAAGGAAAGATATTGCAAATGTGTGGTAAAAATTAAATGAGGACTGTATATGATAATAATGTATTACTATCATAATAACAAACATATTTTTCAAGTTTATGAAACAAGATTGAATTAAAATTATGCATATAAATTGGTAATATATAACGAAAGTGAAAGTATTCTAAGGTTTATATATTGTAGAAACATTGATTGAATTATGACACCAAAACTTTAGGGGAAAAAAGGAAGAGTAAAATTCATACTAGAGGAAGGTAAAAGTGACCTAAATATTGTATATCAGAATTATAAAAAATGAAAATGGAAAAAAGAATAATTAAAAAGCATAGTATGTCAGACTAAATAAAATTAGCTGTGTACCAGTTGACAAGGACTAAATAAAATTAGCTGTGTACCAGTTGACAAGGAGTGAAATAAACCTAGGCAAGTTTAAAAGTAACAAAACTGAAAAAGAAATACCAAACAAATATTAGCTTTAAAAAAAATTTTAAGGCAAAGTCAAATAACATTACAAAGAGATAAGGAAGGCTACTACATAAGTGTAAGTCTGTCATTTCATCAACAATTCTAATTTTGTTTACATATGACAATAGGTCCCCAAATTATAGATAACATAAATTTATGAAATTATAAATTATATATATAATATAACATAGACACCACTATAGTGAGGTGAGATAATTTAACATTTATTTCTAATTAATAAAGGAAGCAGACAAAATGAGAGCATGTTAAGGATAATGGAGATTTCAGCCAAATAATAAACAAACTCAAACTAATGTACAAATATAAAATATTACCCCAAACAACCATCAAATTACATGTTTTTCCCAAAGAAACACAGAACATTTATAAAAATTGAGCACGTTAGGCTCCAAAGGAAGCCTCAACAATTGTCAAAGGATTAGTGTCCTACAAACCACATTATTTGATCTCAATATATTCAATTTAGAGATCAGATCAAACAAACAACAAGAACAATGTTTACATTCAGAATTTAAAAAAAAAGACTTGTAAATAGTTCCAGGATCAAAGAAGAAAATACAGAAATTAAAAAATATTTAGATGCTAATCATAACTAAACTACTCCTAATCCAAATTTATGAGATGTAGTTGAAGTGGAAAGGGAAGATAAAGGGAAAATTTATGGCTCTACATACTCATATTAGAAATGAAGAGACTCAACATCAGTAAATTAAGCATTCTATTGAGGATTTTACAAAGAACAGCAACGTAAACACAAAGAAGATAAAAGAGGTAATTATAAAACAAGAACAGAATTAATAAAATATAAAGCAAAGATAGATGAGAAAAGATTGCCAAAGCCAAATTTTATTCTTTGGATACACTAGTAAATTCGACATATCCCTCTCAGGAGCAATAAGAAAATAATATAGCAAAAGTACAAATAAATAATATCAATTATCAAAAAGAGGCACATCTACAGATGCTGAACAGATTAAAAAAGATAAGAAAATACCAGGAACAACTATACTATAAATGTGAAAGCTTACATAAAATGGAAAATGCATTTTAAATAAAACTTACAAAAACTGAAATAAGAATACATTTTTTAGAAAATCAGCCAGGCACGGGGGCTCACGCCTGTAATCCCAGAACTTTGGGAGGCCAAGGCAGGTGGATTATGAGGTCAGGAGTTCAAGACCAGCCTGGCCAACATAGTGAACTCATGTCTCGACTAATAATATAAAAATTTGCCTGGTGTGGTGGCACGTGCCTGTAGTCCCAGCTACTCGGGAGGCTGAGGCAGGAGAATCGCTTGAACTGGGGAGGCAGAGATTGCAGTGAGCCAAGACCATGCCATTACACTCCAGCCTGGGTGATAGAGTGAGATTCAGTCCAAAAAAAAAAAAAAAGTATAGTTGTCTAGCCATATAACAATAAAGTCATATATCAAACAATAAAAATTGTTATATGACATAAAATTATCATGACAAACAATAAAGCCATTTAACAAATAAAAATTATTATATAACATAAAATAGTCATATAACAACCAATAAAGAAATTAAACCAGTAGTTTAAATTTTTCCACAATAGAGTCAAGGCCAACTGGTTTTCCTTGAGTTGGAAAGGTTAAAGGAAAAGATAATTTAATTACAACAAAACCTATTTCAGAAGATATTAAAAGCCCAACTCATTTTAGAAGGCAAGCATAATATTGAAATTATAGCTCAACAAACAGATTGCAAACACACAGACTAAACATGCTATGAGTATAAACAGAATATATATCAATATATGAATTTAAAACTCTAATGCTAATATTACAAGTTCAAAAAATGTAAGATTATTCTAACATTAGAATATCACTGAATGTGATCTTCAGATCCAGAAAGAAAAATTGCATGCTGATCTCAAAGAAAAATGTGTTTAATATAAATCCATATAGCAAAAAATTTTAGTATATGTGGAAAGGATGTACATTAAGATAACCAGAAAAATAAAACAGTAAATATCATAATTAATGGTGAAAAAGAATTAAAGGTATTTCCTTCAAGACCAGAAGAAAGTTAAGGATATCTGGTATCAAAACTTCTTTTCAACATTATACTGTATAGGTCTTGCTCAGTGCAGTAATACAAATGGGAGGGATTTGGAGATGAGGAATGGATCTGGGCAGATTTTACATTGTACTAACTAGAGCAGTAGTTATTTCCCTTTTCTGCGACTGATAGAAGCTACAATGAAACCATATCAACTACTACTTGCCAAATCCCCACATCTTCTGAATTTCCCATGTTTTTTCTGTGATTCACATATGAACTCATCTGAATCACTAGGTAAGATTAAAAGAAAAATTATGCTGAGGTGCAATAAAAATCAAAAAAGGAACAAAGTCGTTATATAAGCAGGTCTTTCAGGCAAGGGAATATTCAAACTTGTCTCACTTGATTTGCCTTTATGGTAATCAATTTTGCAGCACCGCTATGCCACACTGAATTTTAAAGCAAGTTTATGAGCTATTCTAACAAGAAAAGGTTTTTAATGTCAAGAAAATGACTTTTTGGCTGACTTTATCAAAGATAGATTATATTTCAGTCTTACAGTATTTTTTACTTTTCAAAATGTACTAGTAGCCTCAAATTATATATTCTGAGTATAACTAAAACAATATTAGTTTACGATTTCTGTTTACATTTTGTGACATAAAGTCAATACATAGTTCAATCTTTATGGTATGTTATTTCTGCATAATCAAAGGTGAAACAATGTCTCTGTATACATTAAAAATATTTCTGGGGAGGCCGAGGCGGGCAGATCACGAGGTCAGGAGATCGAGACCATCCTGGCTAACACGGTGAAGCCCCGTCTCTACGAAAAATACAAAAAAATTAGCCAGGCGCGGTGGCGGGCGCCTATAGTCCCAGCTACTGGGGAGGCTGAGGCAGGAGAATGGCGTGAACTCGGGAAGCGGAGCTTACAGTGAGCCGAGATCGCGCCACTGCACTCCAGCCTGGACGACAAAGCGAGACAGCGTCTCAATAAGTAAATAAATAAATAAATAAAATAAAATAAAAAATAAAAAATTCTGGTAGGATCCACAAAATACTAATCATATTTGGCTGGGAGCACTGGCTCACACCTGTAATCCCAGCACTTCGGGAGGCCAAGGCGGGCAAATGACGAGGTCAGGAGATCGAGACCATCCTGGCTAACACGGTGAAACCCCGTTTCTACTAAAAATACAAAAAATTGGCCGGGCGCGGTGGCTCAAGCCTGTAATCCCAGCACTTTGGGAGGCCGAGACGGGC